TTTTCAAAAAGTAAATTGTGGTATCTTCCTGTTGGTAGGCTTGCTATCAAAATGCCACTTGTAATCTCAACTAAAGGGCATGTTAAGCAATTCCCCTATGGTTCACAGATCAGTAAGTAGCTCAGCTCAAGAAACTGGATGCAAACTGATCTGCAAAAACAACATTGATCATCATCAGGGGATGCAGATTACAATGATTCTCTTTCTGTATGTCAAATTATAATTATTAGCACAATTATATGTTTTGGCAATGCATACATAAACAATGAACAAAGGAATACAAATTTAGTGCCAATAAGATCCTTCTGGGAGCACCAAACATATAAGTAGCAGCCACTGCAGTTGACATGTTAGATTATGAAAGGAAAGACTTGCTTTGAATTCCCCAGCAATACATTAAATCAACTGGGTGACCTTGGTTGAGTCACTCTTCCTGAATTTGATGTATCTCATAGGCTTCTTGGAAAAATAAACCAAGGAAGGGGAGAGGAATAAGGAGAAGTAGCAGGAGGTTCTTATAAGACTAAGTTTAGATATTTCAAATGCCTTATGTACCGTTCTTCTTTGCAACGGTTTTTGCAAAAAACCGTTGCAACGATTGCAACAGTTTTTGCAACGATTGTAGAAAGTCAGGTTAAGAGCATTTAATCACACTTTCAGTACAGTGAATTTTACTTTGATATCTCTGCCTGCAAAAGAGATACTGGATTGCAGTGCTTTGTACCTCTTTCCTTATCCCACTGAAGTAATTCAAGCCTTGAGTCCATGTTCTAAACTAAAACCCAATTGGGATCTTAAAGTATAATCAATCTCCATTCCAATATGAGAATACACGGCATTAAATATCATTGGTATTCATTTATTCCATGAAAAAAGCAGGCAGGTCAAACTGGTATTAGACCCAAAAGAACAGCATTATATCTCAGACATTCCATTTTTTTCCTTTTATCTTAACATTAAAAAAAATAAAAAAACAAACAACCCACAATAGGGGACAGAGAATGCCCCAACGGCAAGTCTAAGCAATATTTCAGTTCACTCAGTCAGTTTCCAATTAACATTTGTTTATCATTTTGTAAGCAATTTTGGAAATGGTCATGACCTCTTGGGATTTCTTTCTTAATTCAGGCTTGTAACATTTCTTTAAAATAAGGTGGCAATGGGTAAACTCTGAGATAAAATCTTTCAATCAGCAAATGGCATTGCCCAAGAGGTGAGCGAAGAAGCAAATGAGATACATGTACAAAAATAAACATCTGGACTATAAATACTTCGATTCTCTGCAAGAAATTTCTTGAACTTCCCCAAATCTGTTGAAAGGATAGAGCTGTGGACCCTTATTCAATCTGTATATAAATAAAATGTGTCTATTAAAGACTCCATCAAACCCAGTGGTGTTCTTCCAAGAGGACCAAACTCTGAGAAAATACCAGGGTGGATAAAAATCGACGATTTTTTAATTTTTTTTAAATGGATTTTTTTTATTTAAATCAGATTTTTTTTATTTTTATCAAATTTAATTTGGAGTAAAAAAATCTATTTAAAGATAGTTTTCTATTTAAGATACATTAATAAGCTAGTTTATTCAGCATAAAATGGTGCTTAGTTATGTAGCATAACACTGTATATTCTTCAATATTGGGACTGTTGGTGAGTCAACAGCAGGCCAGAGGAGGAGCTTTTGTGGGACAAAAATGACAGTTGCTCTTCAAAAATTATGATTTAAATTGTGATTTAAATCAACTTGATTTAAATCAAATCCATCCTGGGAAATACTGATTTTTCTTTGGGATACATGTCCATTAGCAATATGTATCAAGGATCTGTTTTGACTTAAAGAACATAAGCTACTCTCTTTTATTCTTTTAAGCATGGGCATGAAAAGAATGCCCTTATTTTAAATCTCCATCTTATCATGAACTACATCACTACAGTAGTACAGTCTATTCGACTCTCTGAATTTAATAAATGGCTTGATTGTATCTTGAACTTGATAGAGAAGGCTATTTTATATTGACATGCCACCATAAAAAGAACTGTACGAGAACGCTATTGTTCGGGCGACACAATTCAGATCTTGGTTATGCTGCTACAATTATCATCTCTCCATTGTAACACCAGAATCAAGTACTGAAAGCTTTTTCGGGAAGAGAAGGAAACAGTAACTTTAAGGGATATCTTCAAGGCCAAGACTTGTTTTGAAGCTGATTGCTGAGTGATTTTACAGAAAAGACAACCGGAAAATAAAATAAATCCCAAAAGGTTTAAGCCAAACAATCTTTTTTAAAAAACACCTTCTAGAACAGATTCTGCTCCACTCATTAATTCACTCTTATTTGTAGAACGGAGAGAAAAGGTGATCTTAGTTCACCTACCAGGAAACTTGAAGTTGGCAGAAGATCCTGCCTCTTCCACTTCATCTCAACACAATGCCAGCATCCAAAAGACAGCGAGCCCTGAAGGCCATTCCTAGTGTCAGGCCTGAAAGCCATCTTTTTAGTTGCATCTTCAGGCCTGCCACATTTACTACTGTGGGACACTAGGAGGGGGGAATTGTGTGGAGCCAGAGGGATATGTAGTAATAATAACATTCCTTTCTCAGACAGTCAAGAACATCTTGCCCTTCACCTGAAAAGCTGGAACTGGAAGGCATCTCCAGTTGGGACGGTGCTTTGATTGGACCATGTGATGGACTTGTGGGTGTTGGGCAGGAACTTTTCTTTGGGTGGGGAAAACCTGGAAATTTTCAGATTTGGGTTTTCCCAGATATGCCAATATGACATCTCTAATAAAATGGAACTTTGAGGAAACTCAAGCCTCAGTCTTATTTCATTGAGGGTGTTACTTGGAACCTGACACCTAGGTTTTTAAGCATTGTCTTTCATGACCTTACAATAGCTAAATATGTGCCGAGTTTCATTTAGCTTAACTTTATTTACAGGCAACATTTAAACTTAGCTGTTTTTCTCTCTACAATAAGCATCGATGCTGTTCCAGCTTTTGCAATTACAAATGCAGGTTTACTCCAAAGCAACTATAATTCTTTTCCTATAATTCTGTGCTTCCAACAATACTGAATGGAGTTCCTCTTTAAAGAGCTTGGAACAGATCATCTTTCCCCAGGTCTTGAAAAACAATTCTGGGATGGGCGCTCAGCCATGACAGATCCTGAGTCAGTCTTATGGGCTGTTCTCCAAAGTTGCTGCTCCCAGATGCTCAGATCTATTTCTGCAATGTAGACACACTCCTTGGAAAGGGTCTTTATATAGCACTTGATGAAGATAAGACGTGCTGGCCATTTTTTCCACAGGGCTGAAAATCCAGGTTAGGTACAAACCGATGGTGAAATGTAAAATTTGTTACTACCGGTTCTGTGGGCGTGGCTTGGTGGGGGTGGGGTGCAATGTAACAGGGTGGGCGTGGCCAACTTTTTTTTTTTTTTGTACTTTTAAAAGCAGTTTTTCTACAACCTCTTCGGCCAAAGAGGTTGCAAAAAAAATGCTTTTAAAAGCCTCTGACAATCAGGCAACTCAGCTGGGATCATCAGAGGCTTTTAAAAGCATTTTTTTCTACTTCCTCTTCGTCTGAAGAGGTTGTAGAAAAAAATGCTTTTAAAAGCCTCTGACGATCCCAGCTGAGCCACGCAATCATCAGAGGCTTTTTTTTTACTTTTAAAAGCATTTTTTTTGGCTGAAGAGGTTGTAGAAAAAATGCTTTTAAAAGTTAAAAAAAGTCTCTGATGATCGTGTGGCTCAGCTGGGCATGGGGAGGTGGCAGGGATTTTTGCTACTGGTTCTCCGAACCACCCACCGCCATCGCTACCAGATTGTGCGACCTGGTCCGAACTGGGAGCATTTCACCCCTGCTACAAACTGTTGTTTCCTGCTAGTGACCTACTACTATTTTGAAGTACTGATTTAAACAGTTCATTTATACAGCAAGCAGAATCAGAAGACAAAGCCTTCCTTGGATTGTAATACCTTAGGATGGGTAGGAAGTTATAGGTTGCTATTTGCCTCCATTAATCTACTAAGATTGATTTTGGAAATGTAAGTCCAAAATCTTTGGAGAAATCAAGAATTCAAAATGGTAGCATCAGGGAAGAAGTACAGCATCAGCTTCTAGCATGAATTTGGAGGAAGCAGACAAAAGGGCTCTCTTTATTTGAAAATACTTGTTTCTATTAATTAATAAATGTATTAGCTTGCATAAATGGATTTTCTTCTTCTATTAACAGTCATGAGTCCTGCAGCATACAAGAGATGCGTAAGATTTTTCAATTACCTTTTAAAAAAATTGAGAGTACAATTTCCTCCACAATTAAACATCCTGAACATTCGTTAGCTTTTTAGTCAAGCTAACTGTGTAACTGGTTTTTCCCAATCTATTATTTTCTAAATGTGTTGGACTTCAGCTCCTAAATTCCTACCTCCAAGGGCCATGCTGGCTAAGATTTCCAGGAATTAAAGTCCAAGTTGGAAGGTAGCAGGTTGGAAAAATCTAATATAACCTGGCATTTTGTTTATATATAACATTATATATAAAATTTGGTTATAAGCATAAATTTACTGTATGTTGCGTGTCTTTGTGTGCCTTTATAAATTAATATGAGAAGTTGCTCTTAGCCTCCTGGGATATCTTCTTGCTAATCCAGGAAAGATATGACCTAAGCTACCTCGGGAGAATTAGCGAAAAGAACTTTCCATAACAAAATACAATTGTATTTTATTTATTTATTTATTCAATTTCTACAGTGACTTTGTGCATCTTAGAATTAAAGAAAAATATACTACAATTAAAATAATAAAAACATCCACAATAAATATACACAGCAGCTGAGATTTTTTGCCAGTTTAACAATAAAGCCAGGAAATGGGGCCGTTAGCATATTCAGAATCCCAGGCTCTGGAACTCAGCCAGGTTTCTAGAACTTTATGAAAGGTAAAGAGCGTTGGGGTCATTCTCAGTTCCAAGGGAAGGATATTCCACAAAACAGGAGCTACTGCAGAAAAGGCTTGTCTTCTAGTTTGCCAGCTGACACTCTTCGGCTGATGGAATCTGCAGCATACCCTATCTGTTAGATTCGATGGGTAGAGACTTTCATGTGATCTAGATGTGGAACATCTAGACTTTCATGTGACACTCTGGATGTGGAACATCATGTTGTGAGTTTACTGACTTCTACTCAATGCTATTAGATACTGTTAGTAGGAATTAGAAATTCTACAGGACTATGGCTTTATGCTATAGATAACTGAGTAACCGGGTTTCCCCAATCCATTATTTTCTAAATGCATTGGACTTCCGCTCCTAAATTCCTACATTCAAGGGTCATGTCTATGGAGAGTCTGAATCATCCAGGTCATGGTTGTCCCAAAGGTGCTTTTTCCACTTTTGTATTTTCTTGGGTTTTTTTCCCCCTTGAAAATGTTTCACTTCTCATTCAAGAAGCTACTTCGGTTTATATTTATATTTATATATGTATATATATATATATGCGATATTTTTGCAATCAGGGTTTTTTTCCTATGTTGAAAGATGTTAAAATGGCCATGGTGGGATGAAATCTCTATTCATCGCTTTCAGGCTTGTCAGACATTTTATGTTGTTTCTTCTGTGACTTATGGGAGACTGGGATAGCACTATTTCGGCCTTTTTAGACCTCTTCAGCCAGACACACCCATATTTTGTGACTCCTCCCTGTAGAGGTCAAATATTTATTTCTTTTGATTCATAGGTATAAATGTGCGATATTTTTGCAATCAGGGTTTTTTTCCTATGTTGAAAGATGTTAAAATGGCCATGGTGGGATGAAATCTCTATTCATCGCTTTCAGGCTTGTCAGACATTTTATGTTGTTTCTTCTGTGACTTATGGGAGACTGGGATAGCACTATTTCGGCCTTTTTAGACCTCTTCAGCCAGACACACCCATATTTTGTGACTCCTCCCATATTATATGTATGTGTGTGTGTGTGTGTATGTATGTATGTATGTATGTATGTATGTATGCAGGATGGATAAAAATCAATGATTTTTTTAAAAAAATAAAAAAAAATCAGATTTTTTTGATTTAAATCAGATTTTTTTGATTTAAATCGGATTTTTTGGGGGTAAAAATCTATTGTAAGATAGTTTTCTATTTAAGATACATAAATAATTTAGTTTATTCAGCATGAAATGGAGCTTAGTTATGTAGCATGAGGCTGTATATTCTGCAACACTGGGACTATCGGTGAGTCAACAGTGGGTCAAAGGAGTAGCAGAGATGACAGTTGCTCTTTAAAAATTATGATTTAAATCAACTTGATTTAAATCAAGCCTTTTTACTAGTGATTTAAATCATGATTTAAATTGTGATTTAAATCAACTCGATTTAAATCAAATCCACCCTGTATGTATGTCTATATATTTGTGCCTGTGTCTTTATAATTTAATATGAGAAGTTGCTTTTAGCCTCCTGGGATATCTTCCTGCTAGTCCGGGAAAGAGATGACCTACGTTACCATGGGAGAGTTACTGAAAGAAACTTTCCATAACAAAGTACACTTCTCACTTACATGTGAGCAAGAAACACACTGCATGTGAATCACCAAGTTATGAGTTTACCCCCTTCTGCTCAGTGCCATTAGAGGCCACAAGCAGGATTTGGAAACTCCACAAGACTATGGCTTTGTGCTTTATAAAGATTTAAGCCTGGAAGGAAGAGGATTTGTCAATTTCAGGCGTGTACGCATGGAAAGCCCTACAATCATTCTGCAACTATAATATTTTATTAACTTGATTAGCAGGAATTGACTGTTCAGTTAATAGTTAGCATTTTCTTTTCCAGAAATGTTTTCTAATATTTGCCTTCAATGGTGCAGGCCATAGGTGCTAGGATACAACTTCTGCAATGAAAAAGGAATGTTTGTTCAAACCGAAATGGTGCAAAGACAGTATTTCACGCCTAGAGATGGGGCTCCACATATGAAATGTGGCTAAACACCAGCTGTGTGATGTGTACTTTGGGATCCTTTGCCTATTATAGAGACCAGCAAGACTTCTGAGAAGAATGGAAAAAATGTTCTAATATGGATTTATCTGTGTTCTTGGAAATGCTCAATTTTCAGGTTACTATATATTTTAGCTTAGACCTCTTTTGTCCTGGTTTCTGTCCTTTCAAAAGTGATGTTATTTTGGCCTGTATGTCAGAAGACAGGCCATTTTATAAGACATAAATGGCTCCAGCAACAGCACTACAATACAGACACAAACATATTGTACCTACTGCAGAACACATGCTTTGTTGAGGATTCGCAAACAAAGTGATATCTACTTTAGATTATTCAGCAGAAGAAACAGAAAAATATGGTATGTCTAATAAGAATAATCAAATATGTCCTCACCAAGTTGATAATCGAACAGACAAAGGCTGAAAGCCAGATCTGCTAGAGATGTTTCTCTCAGGCCGACTGAGTCGAAACTGAGCCTGAGAGGAAGGAACAAGGGGCATGGTCAAAAAACTATGATTCAGTCTCTAGGCAGATCCGACTGTAGCAACCCATGTTCTATATAAATAAATAAAATATGATTCAAATTTTAGTTTTTGAAAATGTTTTGGGATTTTTTTTTTTTTTTTGGAAGGAGGGAAGGAAATCTTTATCATAGATTGAAGTCCTAATATCTTTTAGCTTTGAAGAGAAACAGTTTTCTTATATGGATTTTGAATGAAGATGCTCATTTATTTTTTATATATAGGTGTAGATTGTTAAACAGCAATAGGAAATTAAAAAGCTTCCCCAGATTGGCGGAAGCTTCTTGGGCATAGCAAGCAGTTTTTTAAAAGCCTCCTTTATGTAGTACAGATAGTCCTCGGTTAACAATCACTCGTTCAGTGACTGTTTGAAGTTACAACAGTGCTGAATGAGTGATGGTTATGTCTGATCCTTGCCCTTGCAGTGTTCCTGTGTTCATGGAGAATCCAAGGCATGATTATGAATCCTGTTAACCAATTACAATTAACATAGATATTCAAAATTATTTTGTTATGTTTTGCCTTTATGTGTATGTCTTCTACCATATGTTCCTTTCCAGCACTTTTACCCAACTTTTATGGTTGGGATATCTTGGCTGGGAATACTGTCCATTCTAGACCCAAATTACTTGGAGAGCATGAAACTCACCTGGAGGAAAATTGCTTTAATCAATAAATATCTCCATTCGCTTCCAAATACTAACCTACATGCTACTTGAGTGTACACATCATGCTACTTCACTCCAGAATGAAATTTATTTGGTTTTAACTTTCAGGTCTATGGAAACCTGGTTGTTATTTCTTAATCATCTGTAAATTTTACATTGGAGTGTACATGTTTTATAATCAACCTGAGTATGGTGTGCAGGTTGTAAGAAATAAGAAAAAATATGGTGAGATCCTGAATTCTGTGCATTAGGGTCCATTAATCTAAATTAAGCCATTAAGGAAAATATTTCAAAATCAGTCACAAAGAGAACTTATGACATTTATTTCGGATTTCTTTGCAAATTCTTTCATATCACTTTTGCAATCATCAACTCATCTAGAAAATTAGATTTGACTAACTCTCAGGGACTTTGGAATAAAACTATGGGCTTCTTTGGGTACTCTCAAAACAAAAGTAGCAACGAAAGAGGCACCTTCAGCAATAAAATGGCAGCTACATAAGTAAACATAAATCAGAGATAAACACTCAGACTTAGCATTGTAATTTCCTATCACAATAGGCTGCCTTGTACACACATATCAAATATTCCCTTTCACTAAAAAGGGTTTAGAAAAACAATTACAGAAAATGAAAAACAGAAGAAGTTATATCCAAAGCACACCCAATAAGTTTCACATTAGTCTTCAAAACAACCAGTTAGAAGTTAATCCAATAACATCACAAGACTGTGTTATTAACTGTAGAAACCGCATAACATTTCTCTTAAACAAACTACAACCCCTCTCACAACATTTCTGCAGAAAAATGTAATTTATAACAACAAAGTAAGAAACATGCCAAAGGCTTTTCTGGAGATTGTTCTGATACTGATTATAATTATCTGATACCATGAAGAAGGCTTGGGGGATATTAATCATTCAGGGTGCTTAAATGCAACTGCTTTTTAATTGCCTGCAATCACTTGGAATCATACAGAAGATTTAAATTTTAAAATCCTACATGCAGCTTGTTCTAGCCACATAAAGCAATGGCGTTTGAGAAAAAACCGCACCATCCTTCCATGGAGATGGACTTGAATTTACTTTTGTTTCATGTTCCTTTCAGACTTACATATGACATTCATTCATTTTTTAGTGGTATAATTGAAGTTACTTCATTTAGAGATGAGCTTTTAGAATATAGCTTTTGACATGCCACTCAAAAACTAGTGTTGCTTTTGCACTGATGTGCACTGAAGTGAATATATCTGATTTTAAGAGTCTAACAGAGTATTTCAGGCTGGTTTCATTTTATCCATCTTTGAACAACAAAAATATTATGGCAAGTATATGACCACCATGGGAAACCTGAAATAAAATTAAAATGAACAGTGTATTTGATGAGCCAAATAATCCAAAATTAAGAAAGATGCATTAAACAAATTTGGGGTCAAGTCCTGAGAAAATCAGCAGAATCAGGCATTAAAAAGTGAGTACGAGGATTTATTACAAGCTTAAGCTCTCTACAAGAATCTAAGCTACTAACGGTCAAGGGAAATTAATGGAAGATAAGGAAGGCATTCAAAGTGGGCTGGATTTAGATCTCTTGTGGGTGCGCAGGGGGTGACGTGTTTGACCCCCTCCCTTGGGCTCAATTTCCTACATTTGGTATCTGATTTATTGAGCACAGCACTGTCAATACGGGCCAAGCTCCCACAGTAATTAGTTCATTCATTCATTTTTATGAAATCATGTATTTTGAGAGGAAATAGGTTCAAAATCATGTACATCCCAGCAAATTCTAATTTATGTTTGAAATCACACAGTGTATATTTTGTTATTTGTTTTCCTGAAACCAAGAATTATAATCGAACAAACAATATAATAACAGCTGCCCAGAGTCACTTTATAGGGAAGATGGGCAACATAAATATTAAACAAGTAAACAAACAAAATATAGGAATTGCAAAATTATGGATGGTTAGCTAATTATAATATACATATTAATCCAACAAATCAGTCTAAACCAGAACTGCAAATATCAAAACTTCTATTTACCTGATGCCTCCCACTATTCTTTAATGTCCTCTGATCACACAAACTATGTTGAGTTTAACATAGTTTTCCCCAAAAGTATCTTGACAGGTTGTTGCACGTTCACCGGACATATTCAGAAGTTTCTACTGAGCTTACTTCTTGCTGTTTCTGTAATTGCATGAACTCTGCCTGATGATGGGCAACGATGCATTTAAATGTGAAATTCCATGGCAACTTTTTTTAAAGCATAAACTGAAATAAAAACAGTCCGGTGCAAACATTTGTAGAATAAAAAGACAGATTTGTCTATTCTCCAATGTGTCATTTTCTTTCCTTCTTCTCTAAGATGAATTTAAAAATAGCAGCAAATATCTTAGCGTGTACATTTTAAAAACCATACATGATTTAGGGGGAAAAAAACCAGTCAATTTTTCTCCAATGGAACGATCCAGCATAGCAGTGATAAGTAAATAAAATACTGACTTCCAAGCAATCTAAATCTAAAATCCATTAATTTCCTGTCCATCCTTTTTATGACAAAATATACTTCAATGACATTTACACAGTGTGATAGTAATAAACGTGAAGTTCGCTACACGCTTTCCTTTTTTGATATTTTCCCCACAAGCACTCACTATTTAAAATCCCTCACATGTATCCTAGGAAATCCCTCACATCAGGGGTGGTTTCTACTTACCATTACTACCGGTTTGCAACGGGAGCACATAAGAAGCTTCTGCGCATGCGCAGATCACTCATTATGATGTCATGGCGGGTAGGCGGAGCCTCCCACTGGTTTTACTACCTGTTCTATAGAACTGGACCAAACTGGGAGCAACCCACCACTGCCTCATATGTATCTTAGGGACAACTTAAGCCATTACCCTGCCGGGAATATTTTCAGAGGCACAAAATCAGCTAACGTACCCTTAAAAGCTCTGTTCTAAAAGATGATAGAAAAACAGTTGCAGATAAAAAAAGCATTGCACCTTTGCTTTCAGAGTTTGTATTGAATTTGGAACACCCTCCACCCAAACCCCCAAGCCTTGCTGATAATTTGGACGTTTTTGTCAAAAAGAGTTTAAATCGAATCTAGGCTTATGGGCAAACAACAAACAAAATATTTAGCTTTCAAACATTACATTCTTAAGTTTTTTTAAAAAAAAAATCAAAATGATTTCGCTTCCACTTTAAAACTTCTTCATGCCCATAAATTGCAATTACTTCACAATCGCAAGGTCACCTTTTGTTAGTTCCACTTAATCTGATTCTGACATCAGGGCAAAGTGTAAAATTGTGTGAGCTTTTAGTAGAAGCCGACCAGAAAAGTACAATAGATCGGGAAATAAAAGAGAAGTGTGGGAGTTGTATAGAGATTAAGAGAGAAAGCATAGTTTGGAAGTCATAAAGGTGAACATGGAAGGAACATCATTGCTTCCAATAGACTATAGAGATAAGTGCTAGAAAATTAAATGTTACAAGCTAGTAGATGTATTAATTCCAGGAAGTCCCCTTTAAGGACAATTCAGAAAAAAAAAAAAACAAAGATTATCACAGCACTAAAAACTAAAACCTTTGAAGAGAGATCAAAGGAGCTGTAGTCTTCAAAAAAAAAAAAAAAAAGAAAAAAAAACTGAGTTGGAATATAAACTTCAACAACCTGAAAGGATGTCAACACATGTCCTCTCTTATTCCAGAGTTCAAAGCACAATTGGAATTACAGGAAGAAGAGCAGAAGAAAAAATATTGCAAGAATAGGAGTTGTTCAACGATGGAACCAATTACTTAGAGACATAGGTGCTTCCCTTTCAGTAGTCCTTGATGCTTTCTTAGCTTGGTTGTTTTCTTGCAGATGTTTCATTATCCAAACTAGGATGTTAAAACAATCAGGCTTAGAGAGTACCAAGATCCCCTCATTTCAACCCTGAGCTATAAATATTCTCCTTTTCATTTCAAATGGAGGCTAGAAAATTGTCTGAATGTTTTAATCTAGATCCCTGCATTGTGCAAAGAGTTAGATGTGAAGACTGGAACGGGCCTGTGATAGGCCTGCAATTGTCATTGTTTTGTAGATCACTTGTCAGATATAATCATATCCACACATTCTGATGGAAACACTAGGAAAATGAAGGCGGAATAGCTTCAAAAACAGTTTTGACCCTGTATTTTCTTTTGCTGATAATATACTAGGAACCCTAACCTAACCCACTCTGATGTTTTCTTAAGCATATTATTGTTGAATTTAGGCATTTTGGTATACATTAAGGCATATATCTAACATTTACTTATGGATGTCACCTCTGTAACAATATTAGTTCTTCTGAAACAATTTTATGTAAGATTTTTCTGCCTGATTCTTTCTTCCAGTTGTTCTATGAGAAATCATCTCTGATTAATATATAATAATAGAATCTGGACACATTATACTTTTGGTGGTAATGAATTTCTATGCTTCCAAAAAATTGATTTTTCAATGTTGCATCTGACATCTTTAAGCCTCTCCTGGAGCAGTTTCATTAATTTCAGAAACATAAAAAATAAAAATGTCTCTTAATTACCTCTAGGATTGCAATACTTATTGCTTAATGCAGGTCCTAGCTCTCACTTAGAGCCTCAAGTAGGATAAAGAACTGCACTAGAGAAAAAGCAAAACTGCAGTTTCTTGCAGCTTTCAGATCAGAACAATGATAATTAGGAAACCAAACTTACCTAATTAAAAGCAAATGAATACAAGCTGAAGTAAGATTCTAGTATGACTCCATTCTACCTTGAGAAACATATTGATTGTGGTTTCAGGTTTTTGCAGAATTTTCTGGATGAAGTTTCTATTAAACCAAGTAGCAGTTTCTTTCATGAAAACAGGTATGTGATTTTGTTGAAAACTATTCAGAATGTGTTTCTTTAAGAACTACTAGTTTTGGACTTCAAAAATACAGAAACCAATAGATCAGGGCTGTCAAACTGACGGCCCACGGGCCAGATACTGGCCACACCCACCCCCCGGTTTAGCGAAGGGGGAAAAAGTCCCGACACGTCACGTGACCACGACATGACGACGTGAGTTTGACACCCGTGCACTAGATGGTGAGAAAGAGTTAGAAGCTTTCTGTATCTTCTTTCCATGTAAGGGTTAAGTGGAATCTTAGAGCTCTGGTTCATCTAGTTTTATGATTTTGATATAAGATATCAAAGACTTGCAGCATAAAAAGTTTTTTCCCCCTTGTATCTATCTACCTTTTGAATTATGAAATTAGGAAAAGGCAAAAAACAACAACACCTGGAAGGAATTTAAGACAGGAAGCAAGTACGAACTTTGTTATCTCAAAAGATGTCAGTGTCTACCAGGACTTGTCTGGGCTTGGAAGATGAGAGGGATCAAGCCTAATGAGATGAGAAATCACTAGGTAATGTAAAGGTGGAAACAGAGGGCAAGGGCAAATTACTTCCATTGGGGCGGAAAAAAACCACAATATCTTTGTGCTTTTAAAAATATTTTTCATAGCACAAAGCCAGCCCTATACGGCCCAGGAGCACAGCGCAAAGGGGAATTTTGGTATGCTGGAGCCCTTTTAAATTCCATTCTGCATTCCGCCCCCCTCCCCCCCACTTTTTGCTATATGAAACCAGCCTCTCTCCGCAGGCAGAGCAAGATGCTGGAGAAGGTCAGCTGGGGGTGACAGAACACAGGGCAGCAAAGGGTCAGAAGGGCTTACATGGGAGAGGAGATAGGTGGGTAGGCTACCAAGTGCCCAGATTTTGATTACATGACCGCAGGTGAGCTGCAACAGAGGTAACTGTGGACATGGGTTGTAAGTCCCTTCATTCAGGACTATTATAACTTCAAACAGTTGCTGAACAAATATTTATTTACATTATTCCTTATGGGGAAAATTTGTATGGTCCTTGTTTGTCAGGCCTGCCATGAGAAAGGTTTTGAGCGGGAATATTCAAATCCAGCTTTGCTTATACTGTAACCACTTGGCTTTAGAAAAAGTATACTTTTTGCTACAAATGGAGTCAAGGATCTTTCTTTCCTAAATGCCCAAGCTGGGACAAGCCTGACATCATTTTTGATACTCTTTGCACCTCCCAGAACCAATTAATGAGTATTGAGGTGCCACTGTATCTGTGAAATGATGACCCAATCTGGCATAGTTGTACAGTATGTTCCCAAGTGGCTTATTATTTATTTTTATTTATCCCACCTTAGTTTTATAAGTAACTCCAGTACTTATTTTTATATGTAACGTAGAGCAGTGAGCATAACTACGGTAATACTCCTTCCTCCACCTATTTTCCTCATAGGAACAGCCCTATGAAGTGAGTTGGGCTAAGAGAGAGTGACTGGCCCAAAGTCATCCAGTTGGTTTTCATGGCTAAGGCAGGACTACTGTAGAACCTCCTCACTGCTTCCTCAAATACGGGGAATAGAACAATCTGTTCATAATAATTTACTGCAGAAAGGCAGATTATAGTGGGATGTCAGGGGAACATCTTAACGGAAAAAACTGTTCAATGGAAAAAGCTGTGGAAGGTTCCTATTGACTGCATCTATTCAAGAAGAGGGTGTGTAGATGTTTAACATGGATTATTGTACCAAGAAGAAGGCTGAATGTCATGATTTATATGTTTCCTTCTAACTCTACAATTCTTAGAAATTTCTACTTGGTATGACTTCTATTCCATGCAAGCTCCTCAATTATATATAAGTCCAAATTTTAAAATTAGATTTAGATGTTTCATGGAGCAAATACAGATTTGTTTTCTCTCAACAATTTGGATTATAATTTTTTTTTAACTGTATTACTATCAGAAACAGACAACTGTAACTGTCATAGAGAGACAGAAAGACATAAAGAAACACAAGCAATGTAGTTTTAGTCCTTCTTAGTTATATTATATAATAAATAGTTTAAAAATATTATTGATAGTGGGAAATTTGTAATTATTACCTCAGTAACGGTTACAGTAATAAAAGAAGACTGTTCTGTGGAAAAAATAATTGTAGTTATTTATAGTGTGATTATGATTAATTTAATCACTCATTCATGACAATAGAAATTGTGGCAATGTCAGTTCAGAATAATAAATTATACTTTTTAACAATGTAATGATGGTGACTATCATTCATTGAATAATAGGTAATGGTAATGAAGGAGAAACATTTTTCTTAAGAAACCTGTGATGCTTTTTATTGTCAGCTGCATTTCAAAAAGCTGAGCACAATATCCCAGTCTGAAAATTGTTTCCATTTTCCATGTTAAAGTCTGGAAGACATTGGAAATCACTCTACTTACTTCCTTATCTTCAGGACTTTTCAATATTGGAAATCAGCTGGGAAAAAAGGGTTTCACAGAATGGACTACAGATGTGAGAGAAGAATATGACTGAAGGATTTAATCCACCACACATAAAGGTAAAGGTTCCCCTCGCACATATGTGCAAGCTGTTCCCAACTCTAGGGGGCATGCTCATCTCAGTTTCAAAGCCGAAAAGCCAGTGCTGTCTGAAGACGTCTCTGTGGTCATGTGGCTGGCATGACTAAACGCCATCAAACTGCTAGGTTGGCAGAAGTTGGGACAAGTAACAGGAGCTCATCCCGTTACGCAGCACTAGGGATTCTAACCGCTGAACTGCCAACCTTTCGATCGACAAGCTAAGTGTCTTAGCCATTGAGCCACCGTGTCCACCATGCATAGAGGTAGTTAAAACCCAGATTCAAACTTCCAACAGTCAGATACTTCCAAGTCATGTGACTGCACTTCAAGTGTTCCCAACGGGGCCACAGTTGCTGAATATTTACTTAGTGAGCCATGGATTCCTTTATGACAGGGCACAAAAAAGGTCGTAAAATCAAGCCAGTCATGTGACAAACTCGCTTTACAACTGCCATTACTTATTACTTTAATGGGCAAACTCCATTATGGTCATAAGTCAAGAACTAGTTGTATATGCCCAAATCATAACTGCAGCTCTTACATTCAGGATAACCTCTGTTTGCAGGCATGGTCCAGCAAACTAATTTTTATGCCGAACACAACTTGTGTCAAAACGTGACTCTGACATTACCAAGGAAACCTCTGCATTTCTGAAGGGTATAATGATCCACTGGCTCTCAAGTTTAAGCCTTATGTGATCTCTGAAAGTATTGTTTGATCAAGGCTAACTGAAGTGAGATCACTAAAACAGAAGGCTGAATGGAAACACCACAATCTGTTTCACAAAAATAGCCCAAAAAATAGCCCAGTTTTAGTAAACTTGCATAGTTTACTAAAGGATTTATGTAACTAACTCACATTAGGTCAGACTATTTATCATGTAGCCAAGAATTGCTTACACTGGGCTGGCAAGAGTTCCCAGAAAAATTCTTTCTACATTAACTATTAACTAGCCCTTTACTAGAAAAATAAAACTTGGACTCTATGATAGGAAATCTGGAACAAGATTGGACATACATAGTGCACAGTTCCCAAATATTATCCTAGCCCTTTGTAGAACAACTTGGAAACATTAATGTTTTAGATTCATCAGTTTACTCTTGGATGAAAATCCTACAGAAGATCAACATGCAGACTAATTCAAGAAAAAAACTGGTTTGTTTTGGGTAATTATTAGTGTGATGGAGGAAGGGTTAGTATGGATTGGTGGCAGAATTGGCTGTATTTAGATCAAAGCTCAGTAAATATTTTGAAGAGGAAAGCAGGTTTATTATTATTTATTTATTTATTTATTTATTTATTTATTTATTTATTTATTTATTTATTTATTTTTGTGATTTATATGCCGCCTTTCTCCCGAGGAACTCAAGGCGGCTTACAAAATGACAATTTCCAATACAAATCACAACAAGATAAAAATTAAAATCAACACCCCAATTAAAACAGTTTAAAATTATAACAGTGTACACCCAACGGATCAGTTGACTTGACGGAAGAGCCACCTCTTCAGCTCGCGACGGAAGAAAAGGAGGTCAGAGGCTGTCCTGAGCTCGGTGGGCAATACATTCCAGAGGATTGGGGCTCCCACAGAGAACGCTCTCCTCCTGGGGGCCATCAGCCGACATTGTTTGGCTGACGGCACCCTGAGGAGGCCCACTCTGTGAGAGCCCACGGGACGATGGGAGAGCGGCAGGAGATGGTCCTGCAAGTACCCCGGGCCTAAGCCATGAAGGGCTTTATAGGTAAGCACCAGCACCTTGAAATGAATCCGGAACGCCACCGGCAGCCAGTGCAGCTCACGTAGGAGAGGTGTTACACGGGAGTATCGAGAAGCCCCCGTAATTACCCATGCAGCTGCATTGTGGACTAGCTGGAGCCTCCGGACGCATCCCAAGGGCAGCCCCATGTAGAGGGTGTTACAGTAGTCCAACCTAGAGGTAACGAGGGCATGAGTGGCAGTGGCGAGGGCATCCCGGTCTAGAAAAGGGCGCAACTGGCGCACAAGACATACCTGTGCGAAGGCCCACCTGGCTACGGCCGTCAGATGATCATCTCTGCCATATAATGGCAGAGAAAGCTAATTATGCAGCATAGTAATTCTAATTCTCTATGTGTATAACTTTGGCTGTAAAATGTAAGCATGAATACATTCACATTAATTATTTCTGCACCATTACAGAAAAGGTGAACCAGTCCTATAGATAATGAGAGTTTTTCTCAGCTTTCTTCAAAGCTCAATATTTCTGCGATTAAGCAAGAAAATGAAGGGTCAGCTCATGAGAGATTAAAGAAAGTGTTGGACGTTTATAAAAAAGATGCAGAGACAAAAAGAGAGAGAGAAAAAAAACCCAGGACCATAACCATAATTTGGCATCTGGTGATTTTGAGGGTAATGACAGACTTGTAGCTGCTTTCACTTTGTTCATTTCCAGTTCTTCAATGCTAGTCCCATACTAATTTGCCAACTTTTGTTAAGTAAATAATGCTCATCAATCAGAGCAAATTAAAACAAGAGGATATTTCAGTTGTGTTTTTACAAAGATGAAAAGCAGCTTTTATGTAAGCAAGTTGCCATTATTCATCTCACTCATGAAGAGTGACTCAAATCTTTCCCTAATCTTTCCCCTGTGTTATTTGATACTTTTGTTTGTAGAATATGATTTAGTAAATCTTTAATTCACAGTTCCTAGTCATTCACCAATCATTAATCTGATCATCTTTGTTGCTCTTTTCTCTACCCTGGAAAGAGTGCAGAAAAGAGCAACAAATAATGATTAGAGGAGGCTAAAACATATGAGGAACGGTTGCAGGAATTGGGTTTATCTAGTCTAGTGAAAAGAAGGACTAGGGCAGTGATGGTTAACCTTTTTGATGCCGAGTGCCCAAAGCACACGCGCACACACATGAATGCACGTGCGTGTGCCACAATCTCCAAAATGCAATGTGAGCGCCCCCTGTGCATGCACCCTGCACATGCACACACGTTCCCTGTCCATGCACCATCCCCCCCGCGCAAGTGCCCTGGACCCCCGTTTTGGCTTCCAGGTTGGTGCAGGAGGCTTTTCAGGCCTAAAACGGGATGCGGGGGGCGGGGGAGAGGCAGCTAGGACTCAATGGGGGTAGAAACTGCAAAGATTGGATAAGGCACGGAAAGCAGGAGAAAGTTAGGACTCGATGGGGGGAGAAACTGTGGAGATCGTGGAAGGCAGGAGAAAGCTAGGACTTGATGGGGGGAGAAACCGTAGAGATCGTAGAAGGCAGGAAAAAGCTAGGACTCGATGAGGGGAGAAACTGTGGAGATCGTGGAAGGCAGGAGGCAGCTAGGACTCGATGGGGGGGGGGAAGAAACTGCAAAGATTGGAGAAGCACGGAAGGCAGGAATGCAGGAGAAAGCTAGGACACGATCTCCACAGTTTCTCCTCCCATTGAGTCCTTGCTTTCTCCTGCCTTCCTGCCTTCTCCAATCTCCACAGTTTCTCCCCCCATCGAGTCCTAGCTTTCTCCTGCATTCCTGCCACGGAGAGGCATCTGCGCAGGATCACCTCTGGAGATCGGGGAAGGCCCCGCCCCATGCATGCGCGGCAGAGACCCGAAGACCAACTGGCCGACGGGAGGTGCACGCATGTGCTGTGGAGCTGGGCTGGGGCGAGAGCTAGAGTGCCCGTAGAAAGGGCTCTGCATGCCACCTGTGGCATGCGTGCCATAGGATCGCCATCACGGGACTAGGGCTAACATGATAGCAGTGTTCCAATATTTGAGGGGCTGCCACAAAGTAGAGTGGGGTCAACCTATTTTCCAAAGCACCAGAAGACAAGACAAGAAATAATGAATGGAAACTAAGCAAGGAGAGACGCAATCTGGAACTAAGGAGAAACTACCTAACAGTGACAACAATTAACCAGTGGAATGGCTTGCCTTCAGAAGTTGTGGGTGCTCCATCACTGGAGGTTTTTAAGAAGAGCCTGGACAGCAACTTGTATGGAATGATATAGGCTCCTCTGCTTGAGCAGGGGTCAATCCCCTCTTTATTTTCACAGCTCTTTCCCCTTCATGTATTTCAATGCCAATGCGACATGTTCTGAAAAGACATAGTTATGTGACTTATGTTGGGATTTTGTTTTGTTTTTTTGCAAACAATAACTAAATTATTGCTGCACATGGGTCAGGTATAATTAATCCCAATAAATTATTTGAAAATTAAGCCATTAAGTTCATCAAGAGCACTTTAACTTCATACAGGTGGTCCTCGACTTACAACCACAATTGGGACCCAAATTTTCATTGCTAAGCGAAGGGGTTAAGTTGACCTCAATTTCGCGATCTTTTTTGCCATAGTTATTAAGCAAATCAGTGCAGCTGTTAAGTACATAATGCCCTCACTGCCTTTGTTGGAAGCCATCTGGGAAGGTTGCAAATGGTGTTCATATGACTCTGTGATGTTGCATCCATCATAAATACATGCTGGTTGCTCCCAAATTTTGACCAAGTGACCAGGGGTGGATTCTAATTTTTTTTACTACTGGTTCTGTGGGCGTGGCTTATTTTGTGGGTGTGGTTTGATGGTCATGTGACAATTCTTTAGGATTTAGCAGAGGTACTGATCTAACAGGCTTTTAACTGCTTGCAGAGCTGTACCGGTCTATCCATTTGTTCTTGGAGCGTTCCGGTCTACCCATTTGTTTTTCGAGCACACTGGTCTACCACCACACTGCCTTTTAACACTGATCAGCTCTAGGGCAGCCCTTTGAAGCCCCGCAGCAAGAGTTTAAACAGTTTTTTTCCTTCTAGCCAATCAGCTGGGACTCAGGAGGCAGCGAATAGTTTGGGGGCGGGGCCAAATAAAAGGTAAGAATAACGCTGGGTGGGGTGGGAGGGCCCAGCTCCTGAACAAAGAGAACCGGTTCAGTGACATCATAACGTCACCGCTACCGGCTCGGACGAACCGGGCTGAAC